CTATCTTAACCGAACTTCTGCATATTATTTTTAAAAAAAATATATGAACATAAAATGTTTCAATTTTTGCAGTTCTTGTACTTAAAAGTTTATGACTAAAACTCTGACCAGAAGTCATGATTGACTATCATTATTTTTTTTACTCCAAAACCGTACATATTTGATTTAAATTAGTTCATTTTTTTATTGATTGATTTTTTTTTATTTGAATAAAAATAATTGGATTTTTTTAAATTTTAAATTTACCATCCAGAGCATCTGATACAATATTTTAATAATACTATTGCTTAAAAATAGAAGTAAAATAGCTAATATTTTTTACTAAAATTTGATAAAATTATTATTACATAAGATAAATGTATTTTTTCAATTAATATTTTTTAATCACTGCGTTAAGAAAAAAAAAAATCATAGTTATATTTCTCAGATTCAACTAGGTGGTAATTGTTAAAAATCGGGTGACAATTTGTCAACTAGACATCTAATGAAAAGTAAACTAGCTGACTGTGAAAAAAGTATTCAGCTGACTGTGAATAAGATTTCAAAATGGTGTGAACAAAATGGTCACACGCTTTCACCCAACAAAAGCTCTTGCATGCATTTTTTTTCAATTTCGCAGATCACACAACGATCCTGTTATTTCTATTCATAACGTTAATATACCTATTGTGTCGGAGACAAAATATTTAGGCGTAATTCTTGACAACAAACTCACTTTCCTGCCCCATATTCGTTATCTTAGAAAACGTTGTGAAAAAACTTTAAATGTCCTACGTGTTCTCTCAAATTCTTTCTGGTGTGTGGATCGTATCACCCTAATAAGAATCTACAAAGCGTTTATATTATCACGTATTGATTATGCTTGCCGAAAGTTTATATAGTATATGTAATTTATCATCTCTATATTTTCGACGTATGCAGCTCTGTCTTACATTTACCCCCAGGGGCACACTCTTGTGTGACGGGTACGGCGCACCCGGGGCCCCGAGCTGGACCTGAGCATTTTTCCATTTCTCTCTTGCGACTGTCCTGTTTTGAGTTTCCGACTTTTTATCAAATATTTATATTGACCTAGTGAACGAAATTTTTTTCATTCAAAAGCACTGTTTATCATTTACAGATTGTAGATGCTCATATTTTTGTTTTTTATTGTTTCTGTCTGGTTTCCTGATATATTATGTTTCACCTATTTATTTTAGATAACCAATTTTTCCCTAAATCATACAGACTAAAAACGTTAGCTTTTGCTGACCAGCACGTTTGCCGTGTGCTGCGTCTCCTAAGGTGGAAAATGGGATCCTGGGGTACCTGTCTGCTTTCTCATATGAGTGTGGCGCCCAAGGGGGCATTTTCATCTCGACGTTGGTAGGCTGTGTGCTCCTTGGCCCATGCTTCACTGTAGACGAGTGGAAGGAGGCTAGGTCCCCCCCTTTTTCAACCGGCTGGTAGGGCATGCCTTGCACCCTGCTAGGGACTAGTGCTGCATCAGGAGAGTGCCCCTGAACTATGATAGTTTTGGCGGATCCACGCTCTCTTGGTGTAGTGCTATACCTGGAACTACCCTGGACAGATCACTGAGGCTGAAGATTTCAGAGCCAGTGTGTTTGTTCCCCTTGTTGGGCTCGATGGTGGGCATGGGAGTGTCCAGTTGAACGTTTCCGTGTACTATGGATACAACCAATAACTCACACAGTTCCGAAAAGACAACTTATAAGTTTGATTTATCAAAATGCTCAAACTATGACACAGCAAAAGCCAGATTTCTCATTCTCAGTTCTAAAGACAAAAAACTTAGTACAGTATCACCCTTTATTGTGCAAAAATTCTTAGAATCCCAAATTGGAAACCCTAAAAATGTCCGTCAGTTGCCTTCTGGTGATTTACTAGTGGAAACCAGTTCTAATAAACAAACCATGTCACTTCTTAAAGCGCGTAAATTCGATAACTTACCCATAACCGTCACTCCTCACAATTCCCTCAATATATCAAAAGGTGTTACAGTCAAATCTCTACAAAACCTCTCAGTCAGCGAAATCGTTGAAGGTCTTTCTGATCAAGGAGTCGTTGACGCAAGATACATAACCATTAAGAAAGGTCGAGAAATATTTACCACACGGCATTTAATACTAACATTTAGCTCCCCCACTCTACCAACAGATATTAAAGTAGGATATTTAAACTGCAAAGTACGGCCCCATGTTCCTAATCCTCTTAGGTGCTTTAAATGCCAAAAGTTTGGACATTCAACTAACAACTGCAGAGGTAAAGAAACTTGCTCCCGCTGCAGTGAAGCCGGACATAGATTCAAAATCTGTACCCAATCCGAAAAATGTATAAATTGTTTCGAACCAAATTCTCGGTGCTGCCCAAAGTGGAAACAGGAAAAACAAATAATCATATTCTGCAGTCGTAGCCAATAATAAACCAAAGAAATCAATAGGCATACAACGTGAAGTAAATGAAATTGAAGCAAATAATAATCTCAAAGCGTTACCTAGACAGGAATCCAATACATCAAAAGTTCCTTCCCAACCACTTGCACAGACGCAGAAATCTGAAGTACCCATAATCCCTTCGACATCTTCGCAAGTCACTTCTGAAAGCCAAAAATGCTTGAAACTAACCCCACAATTGATAACTAAGTTACAACAAAAACTTACTAAATCTCTACTCGTAAGCAGACAGAAATATGTGCCAAAAAGTAGGCAGAATAAATTTCACAAAATTCGGGTAAAACAGTCAAAAAATAAAGAACAGCAATCGCAATCTGATGCAATGAGCACAGATGAAGATAAAGCAATAGAAATTCGAAATCCTCAAATGCAAACTGGCGATGGGTTGGTGGCTCCTCCAAACCTTTATCCAAAAAATACAAAAGATAAAATTCGAAACAAATAAATAGATAAAATAATATCTTGGAATTGTAGAAGTTATAATACAACAAAACCAGACATTATAGATATCATAAATATATTTTCCCCATGTTGTATTTGCCTCCAAGAAACCTCATTAAGACCTTCTCAAACAACCAAATTTCGCGGTTATAGTGTCATTAGGAAAGATAACGAAAATAATAACAAAGCCTGTGGCGGAGTCATGATTATGACTTCTAACACGTGTCCCTCCAATAAAATTATTTTAAATACTCCTTTCCTGCTGTTCAATTAAGCATTCATTGTTTATCGACAGTTTACTGCTTCTATCTTCCAACTCGTGATATTGTACTTCAAGCTGACCTTGACGATTTAATCACACAGCTTCCTCAATCTTTTATTATATTGGGCGATTTTAATGGCCATAATCCCATCTGGGGAAGTTCCGACTTAAATAATCATGGACAATTGATTGAAAAACTAATAGATGATCATTTGCTCAGTCTTATCAATACAGGTGAGAACACTTATTTTCACGCTCCATCACAGTCATTCCATGCCATTGATTTAGCAATTTGCAGCCCATCTCAATATCCATATTGGTCATTTTATGCTCACATTGTTATTGTTATTACAGCTAAAACCACTCAAAATGTAAGCAATAACCTTATAACATCGCTTGATTTTAAACGAATATGTAAATCTACAATACACCAGGTTTGGAAAGAGCATTGGAATAAACAAATTAAAAATAAACTGCACGAAATTTATCCTGATCTTGACAACTTCAAAACAATAGATATTGATCGCAAAACCCAGGTTATTATCAATAGACTGCGCATTGGTCATTCTCGTTTTACTCACATGCATTTACTAAAATCTGAAACTGCACCCAGTTGTTCTGTATGTCGTGTTAACAATGCTATTAAACATATTTTAACAGACTGCGAACGATTCAAACATATTAGGAACAAACTTTTTGGCAGCTTTTATCCTAATCTTCAATCTTTACTTGGTGACCCTATACATCACAACCTTTTAAAGTTTATCAAAACTATTGGACTATATTCTCTGCTTTAAAACAATACAGTAGTTTGACCTAGAGACCGAATTTTAACCTAGTGCCTGGCGCAGTATAGCCATTTCTGGCTCTTGTGCCAATAAAATCCAACCAACCAACTGTCTTACATTTTACTTTCGTGTTATGTCATCTAAATCTCATCCTCTTCGACATGAGGTTATTCCGCTAAGGTTAAGACGATTATATGATGCGCGACCCTCTTACACACCTCCTTTAAAAGCTCGTATGCGTACAGTCATTCAGACATTCAATTTTTGCGAATCACCATCTCAATCAACCGATCACATTCTTAACAAACCTTGGATTATTCCGTCATATCACTTTTATTCTCCATTTATTTAATACAGAAAATCCAATATAGCTCCTAGCGTGTATATTCAGCTATTCATCTCTCACCGTCATGAGTATTCTCAGTATGTTTCTGTTTTTAGGGATGGGTCAAAATCTCCAGGGCATGTTGGATGTGGAATCATTATAGCTGATCGAACATACAGTTATATCATACCTGCCATATGTTCTGTATTTACTGCTGAAGCTGGAGCCATTATCATAGCTCAACGACTTATCTCATCACTGCCCGCACGAAAGTTTGGCCTTTACTCTGACAGCCTAAGTGTTTTACGTCAGCTGCATAATCATGTAAACAGCGAAGCTCATACTATTTTATGTATCATTAAACATTTGTTAGCTAGTCTTCACAAAAGTGTTTTTAACATTTTATTTTGTTGGAATTGAATTGAATTGAATATAGGGTTTAGTGGCACAAAGTCCAAAAGAGGACATGCTGCGCCAAACAATATGGTATAACAGTGCAGAAGACGAAGTATATGCAACACTTTATTTATCGTACAAATATAACTGATAAAATGGTAAAAGTTTGTAAATGGTATGAGGTTGTAAATAGAATCAGATAAAAGGTATGTATAAAATAACTTAAAAGGGTAGGAATGAAATCAGACAAGAAGTTATGATTACGATATAAAATACACGAAGTAACTAATACGTCGTTTTCTAAAGTGAATAAAATTGCAGATGCATTAAAACATTTATATGCTGTTAAAAGTACCTACGGCACGTAAAAATGCAAATATGTTAGGATGGTGAGTATTATTCAACAAATCTTGTATGCATAAAATAGAACTCCCAAAAAACGTTAAACGAAGTTGGTTAAAACATGGATAAATAATTAAAATGTGATAAGTCGAGAGAAGAACGTTACAGGTACTGCATAGAGGAGGAGGCTCTCCAAACAGTAAGTGGAGGTGTGTTAACCGGGTATGACCAATTCGAAGACGTGTAAGCTTTACATCAGCACTGCGCAAGGGCAGTACTGGAAAATGACCCAACTCGGATTTAATGCTATGCAATTTGTTAAAAACTTTCAGATCCCACTGTTGTTGCCACAATGATGACACAAATTTCTGAATATGCAGTTTGACATCAGAGAAAGGTATAGATAATGTTAAAACAGATGTGGTAGATCGTGCAGCTGAGTCAGCTAGTTCGTTCCCAGGAATACCAACATGACTGGGTATCCAGAAAAATAATATCTCAAATCCCTTCTTCTGAAGAGTAGTTAGCAAATGAATAATGAAACATAAAATTGGATGAGTATCAAAGTGAAACTTTTCTAATTGGCTCAAAACGCTCATACTATCGGAGTATATACAATACTTCCGAGTAGAGCGAGTAGAAATTAGTCGTAATGCTAATAAAATAGCAACAGTTTCAGCAGTGAAAACGGCGCAAATTTCAGGAATTTGGTAGCTGTACGTGACGTCAGCAATGATGACACCACAGCCAACATATCCAGGAGATTTTGAGCCATCAGTATATATCGGAACATAATGAAAAAACTGATGACGATGAGAAAGGAAAAGTTGTTGAAATATGGTTGATGCTACAAGTGATTTTTTAGATACATCAAATAGAGAACAAAAATGATATGGTGAACCAGTCCAGGGTGATATAAGTAGGTAGTCTGCCGATTGTGATGGTGAATCTAAAATAGCAAATGTTTGAATGTGTGATCGCATACGAGCTATAAAAGGGCGAACATAAGATGGTCGAGCATCATATAAGCGCATTAAACTTATAGGAGTAACCTCACGCTGTAAGAGGTGTGAGGCTGAAGACATGATTCGATAGTAGTGCATCAAGGACAATTGCATTCTGCATAAATCCAGTGGCAGTTGATGACAAACAGCATACAAGCTTTCCACGGGTAAAGTGCAAAATGCACCGCTACAGATGCGTAATGCTGTGTGATGTACCGTATCAAGGCGTTTTAGTTGCGAAGCAGAAGCAGTGCCATAAACTGTGCATGCATAGTCAATGAGCGACAGTATAAGTGCTTGGTAAATTCGCAATAGCGCGGTGCGGTCAGCACCCCAAAACGTATTAGAAAGCACCCGTAACATATTTAGGGATCTCTCGCATCTTTTTCGCAATTGTTTTATGTGAGGCAGAAAAGTAAGATTATGATCAAAAACAACTCCAAGAAATTTTGTTTCAATTACGATGGGTACAGAAATGTTATGAATATGAATAACAGGTTCATTGTGAAGCCGACGTTGCCGACAGAAATGCACACATGAGCTTTTGGAAGGTGATAGAGTATGACCATTCTCATGACACCATTTTACTATTTTATTGACAGCAAGTTGTAGTTGACGCTCGATTACTCTCATGTCAGATCCTGAGCATGAGACGTTGAGGTCGTCAACATAAAGTGATCCAAAAACTGTAGGAGGTAGAATGTTTAAAATGGAAGAAACATGAACTATAAAAAGTATAACCCTCAGAACACAACCTTGTGGAACACCTTCATATTAGATGTAGAGATCAGAAAGTGTATGATCCAGTTTGACATGAAAATATCTCTGACTCAAAAAGTTTTGAATAAAAATAGGTAGGTGACCACGGAGGCCCATATCAAACAATGCCTTTAGAGTGCCGTATCTCCATGTCCGATCGTACGCCTTCTCAATATCAAAGAAGATAGAGATAAAATGGTTACGTCGGACAAGAGCATTACGAATACGTGATTCTAAAGCAACAATGTTATCCATAGTCGAACTGCCCTTTCGAAAACAACTTTGAAAGTCGGGGATGAGTTTTTTCTTCTCCAGAAAGTAAACCAGGTGAGAGTTGACCATACGTTCGAATACCTTGCTGAAGCAGATAGTCAGAGCTATCGGGCGGTAGTTAATTGGTTCCGTCGGATCCTTACCTGGATTTGAAATTGGTATCACATGAGCCAGCCGCCAACTAGATGGGTATATCTGCTCCGTCCATAATCTGTTAAAAAGTAACAGGATATTCTGCAAAGATGCAGAAGTCAAATGGCGATATGATACACCATCAAGGCGGGGGCTCGTATTGGGTGCTTTTGACAATGCTCGCTGCAATTCATGAAAAGTGAATTTACAATTATATTGAAACTGCCGTCGAGTCGTAAACTGCAGCGTCTGGGCTTCAACTCTATGCTTGTGAGCTTGAAAAGCTGAGCTGTAACTGTCAATGCTAGATACGGCAGCGAATGTTTCACCCAAGATGTTACTCACATCTACAGGGTCAGAGTGCGTGATACCGTTTATATCAAATACCGGAAGATGGAATTCACGGTAGATACCATTCGCTTTCTTGACCCTCGACCAGACTTGTCTGGGAGATGTTGTAGATGTGATGGATGAAACATAGCGTGACCAAGATTCTCTCTGGCTTTGGCGCCGAATCCTGCGTGCAATCGCTTTAGCTCGTTTAAAAT